CTCTAGTGTTGTATGCCACAGTCCCATTAAGTTCCTGATGAAGGCTCTTAGGGTCCTGTTGATCTTGTACAGTTCTAGGCATTCCAGGCATTTCATAATCCTTCTTGTAACCCAGACCTTCCCAAAGTGTGGGGCCCGCCCCCTAGGGCACAGAGCCATTGCAGGGGGCGCAGTATGAAAAGGGGAACATTTTTCTTGTAAAAACAAAGGGGGTCCAGCAAAAAAAGTTTTGGGAGTCACTGTTGTAACCAATCCAGGCAATGCACAGATTGGTCCGTCTAGCCTTGCAGTCTCAGGTGACTGTTCTACTGGTGTTTCGCTCCTCTGATATTCTTGCCAATTCCTTTCTGTGCCACGCGAGTGTGCTTATGTGTGTGTGTATAAATATAGTTATATTATCTTAGGTATAGTGGTTGTATAGTAGTGTTGGACAGAGTAAGACGGCCACAGTGATAGACATAGCGATACCGAATGACAGCAACATCAGGAAGAATGTACACAAGAAGCTGGAGAAGTACCAAGCGCTCAGAGAAAAGCTCCAGAAAATGTGGAGGGTGAAGAGCCACATAGCACAACATAGAAGAGCCACCTTGGCGGGACAAGGCTCAGCTGTTCATCTGCACCTAAAGGACAAAGGTCACTCTTTCAAGGATGCCAATGTTCACATTTTGGAAAGAGAAGACAAATGGTTTAAAAGAAGAGTGAAAGAAGCCATCTATGTCCTCTGGGAACGGCCATCTTTGAACAAGGTTAGTGGCTTACAACACCAATTCTCTGCCATCTATAATCCAGTTTTGAGATCCCTCTCCAGACACCTTAACACCCACCTACATCCTGGGCCATTTGACCTCAGTAAATCACATGATAGGGTGTGGCTAGCTTTCATGGTGGGTTCACCTGAAACCTTGGTTGATTGTGACCCACACCCATTTTCACACCTTTGCTCATGTGATTAGGTAGAGGACAAATAGGGGGTCCATGTTCCTCTTGGGGACACTCCCACAGGGCTTAAAATCTGGGACTCTCCACCATTTGACCTTCTTGAATGAGAGGTGAAAGGTCTTAAAGCAACTTAAAGAAGTCCAGACACTTTTCTTTCCAAGCTACTTAGACTAAGATGACCTGGATCACTGAGACCTTTCACAGACATACAATATATGAAACAAAGGTGAGATTTTGTGTTTGACTTAAATCAGTGGTTCCCAAACTTTTTTTGCTAGGCCCCCTTTGTTTTACAAGAAAAATGTTCGCACCCCCCCCCTTTCTCGCGCGTGCACACACACGCATACGCACAAACACATCCTCCAACCACACACACCCATATTTTGCTCCATTGCGGTTTATTTCACACCTCAAACATTTAGTAAACAATTAAGCAAATACAAGTAATCTGCAATAAATTACAGGTAGTAAGAAA